GATGGAGGAGTGTGTGAATCTTATTTTTCTACCCATAATCACTGCAGTGTGGCCATAAACGTGTTTCTGCATGCTTAAACATTCGTGTGCGAGGAAGTTAAACAGTTTATAGATGAGTTCCCCATCATCTCTACTAGCACAGTGTCCCATATTTACAGCTGCAGAGATGATTGAACCTCACTTTTCGAGCCTGGTTCGTCTTCCTTTTCTCTCACATTTGTCTCCGGCAGTTACAAGTATGCATGTTTTTCTTTATTTCTTTTCTTTTATCCAACTCGGAATAACCCAGCACACCTCCCGTCAGATCATATTTTAAAGGGTTACATCTGTCCAGATGGGACCAGGCTTGATGAGGAGCTGTTCAAGTCAGGCATCTATCTTCAGTCCCATCCTCAGTTTAAAAAGGCAGAAGTATCTTTCTCTCTCTCCCTTGTCACTTTAGAGCACTTTACAAACTGAGCAGCGATGGCAGGAGTGCTTTCGTCACGTTAGATTTAAATGTATTATTTCATTTGCTATGTGACTTCATTAGAAATACACGGAGTAAAAAGTATCTATACACCTGTCATCTTTGAGTATGTATGTACAAATGCATAGCTATTTTGTATATGGTTGCTTTTTCTTTCTGTTCGATTTAAATGCAAGCATGTTGGTGTCTGTCACGGACCTCTTTGCATTCTCAGGTGAAGTTTTGTTTTACATTTATTAGGCTCGTGTGTGACGAGAGGTAAATCTGGTTCTAATGAAAACTATATTTCAAAGGCTCTGTCTTTCAACCCATGATGGAGCCTGAAGGTTGGCAGTTCAAAGTGATATTTTCTTTTGGTCAATCGCTTTCACTTATTAACACACACACACACACACACACACCTTCATAGGAGGACATGAATGGCCATATTTGATGCTCTGGAGGTCTGTCGCTGCTGGTTTCCAAACGGCATAGACAACAATGTTATTTCATTTGCACAGGAGCGGTCTGGTTGCAACATGAATTTTTTTAAAAGCGACTGAATGCTGATGGTGGCCTCAAACCTTTAGAGCTGCAAATGTTGGAGGTTGAGTGCTGCTGAGGTGCTGGGTGCTACACGGTGAAAATGTTCAACCAAAACGAAAGGTCCCCAAAAACCAGTGAGGAGCAGCGCCATCGCCACAGCCTCCAACCAAAGAAAACCTCTCTGCATGAATGGACGCTGAAGATATGAAGCCTATTTATTTGCATAATTACTCTTTGAACACGTTTTGAATTGGAAAAATCTGTTAAATGTTCGTTTTTTTTTTTTGGTTTTTTTTAAAAATATGTATACTGCCTGCATTTACTTGTAACCATCAACAGTTTGTTAGCTGATACTCAGTTTATTTTGTAGTGATCATGAGACAAAACGGAGAAACACAACATGAAATTGTCGTCTTTGTACAGTTAAATAGGATTTATTTGATTTTACCTTTAATTACCGGACTCGGAGGCAGAAAAGAAATGCATTCTACATTTTGTTTTTTTGCACACGTTATGCATACTTGGGCTCCAAGTTATAATCAGACACTTCCTTCTATTTACCGAATACTTAATGGAATGATCAAGTTTTTTTTTTTTTTTTTTTTTTTTTTATTATATAAATATAATGTTAACACACACGTTCTTGAGATGCACACATGTATGTTTGTCCAGTGCACACAGGCCACTTCTGCTCTTTGTAACTTTTTGTTGGCACCATGTTTTCTGGCTGGTTCAGTCTTCAGTGCAAACGTGTTGGGGGTTGAGAGCTTCCAGACGGGAGTTCCCACTTTCCCCCAGTAAAGCGGCAACATCTGTCAGACATTTTCAAGAATTTAGCAGGTTGTGAAAAGGTGAAGGAGAAAAAAAAAAAAAAGGTAAAGCGTTAACTTTTTCAAGCTTTGAACACCTGCGACAGGAAGAGATTTGTGTCGAGCCTGATCTGATGAATCTGAATAGATTGAGAGCCAGTTCTGACTTTTAATTGGTTACAAACCAGAACAAGCTGTGTAATGTTCAACTCTCTCCCCACAGTTTAAGTACAAATTAGTGTGTGAGAATGACTTTATTAAATTCAGTACAAAACAGTAAAAAGAATTGTTTTGTTTTTTTAAAAATGGCACCATGTTTTATTTCTTTTGATTTCCTATCTGTTTTTGTATTTATTATCACAGTATACTGTATGTGTTCATAGTTTTTCACATCAGCTGCTCTGTGAGCGTGTAACTGACACCTGTACATAAGTACAATAAAGAAGCAAAGTAATAAACTTCTCGTACCCTTGCAGAAAGCTGAGCAATAAAACTATGCTGTTTGGACCTCACAGCATTATGTTTTATAGAACCATGTGTACTCCTGTCTTCTTTTCTGCTGAAAGTTTAAAAGGCTAAAAAGTAAGTGAGTCGTTGAATCTACAACACATTTTATAGGATCTTCATGTTTTTTTATTTGTACTTTTTGTAATGTAAGCAGTAACAATAGCTGTCAGATAAATGTAAAGTATTACAGTTTCTCCCTCTGAATGTAGCGGAGTAGAAGTATTTAATGGCATAAAATGGAAATACACATGTAAAACAGGAGTAGCCTTGCCACAAAAACTCTAGGCTGCTTAAAGAACAAGTAGTTCTTTTTTACTAATATTCACCTTTCCTGAAAGGGTTATGTGTCTGGATTGTATGTGTTTTGAGAGACATGCTGGCAGAAATTCAAAGGAAAGTGGTTTTGTCCAGGAGATCTGATGCAGGGATGAGATTTCAATGCCAGGACTGTTGGCTGGATCTGTTCCTTCACTCGAGTGTTATCAGCTCCACCAGCAACTGCAGCTTCTGGTTCTGCCACTGGAACGAGGGAAATTAATCACGTCTTGTTTTCTTAGGTTTGCTAACTTAATAACAGACTGTATGGGAAATAACATGGAAAATGGTTAATAGAGATAATGGAAGAACTTGAAGACATTAAAGAAAGACGTTTAAGAACTCCTGAACCAGATGTAATAAAGACAACCAAAAAAGTCACAGGTTTCAGGTTCTTGTAATGTGTTTTAGAAGAATGAACATATAATCAGCATTCATTGTTAGTGTATTTCTGTCAATTGACTAATTAATCAATTTTTTTAATCTCTACAAATAAACCATTGACTATGATACAATAACATCAATTTGAAAGGTGCCATCCTGCATGATGAGGTTATTTTAGTTTAGGTGACGTAATGTTAAAGGTATTTACGGTAACATTTTTATGTAGACCAATAATTCAAACGCAGTGTTGATTTTTCCTCAGAAAATATTATGATTGTGAATTAATTATAATTAAAAAAAATGTGACTGGTCCCAAATGCATGTTTTGTTTATATCTGCGGGAGACAGGTGACGTTTGGTTCCTGCAGCACCGGAAGTGACGTCAGTACGCTGTGAATAACAAACGTGGTGGATAAAAAGTCGGTTATTGAGAACTCTTCCGGTAACAGAAGGAGGATCGGAGGAAGGCCAGCGAGCAAAAAAGAGAAAGTGACAAAAGACGACAATAACCATCGGTTAATACGTTAAGAAACAATGTGGGATTAAAGCAGAGTCAACGATGGCTTTATACTACTGGACATGTAGGTTAGCTCTGTGTCGTTGTAACTGACTGTAATGTAAACTAAGGCTAACGGAACACAGCGTGGAAACGTGTTATCAGTCATATCCCGTTATGTGTCCATAAACCCGCTAGTTGGTTAACTGACTCTGGTTGTAACGTGTTACCTTCGGACCGGGAGCTCTTCTACTGAAACCTGGTGAGACACAGGCCATGTGTGTACACGTGTTTTCATTTTAGTACCACTTACCACTGGTACAATGTAACTAAGGACAAGTACTACCCAAGTACTTTACTCGTGTACATTTTTGGGTACTTTTACACTTATAACTCCACTACATCTCAAAGGGGAAATAATGTACTTTTTACTCCAGTAACGTTACATTTATTTGACTACATTTAAAGTTATACATACCATTCTGAAAGTATTCTGCACAGTGAGTACTTTTAATTTTGGTACTTGAGGTATATTTTGATGGTAATACTTTTTATTTTAATACATTTTTGAATGCAGGACTATTTCTTGTAACAGAGTATTTCTACACTGTGGTAGTACTGCTTTTACTTCAGTAAAATATCTCAGTACTTCTTCCACAACTGCCACTCTCTCATACCACGGTGCCAACACTTTATTTAATTAGTGAAGACCTTTCTTATTTGAGAAGTAAAAAGTATTTTTGAACTACAATGTAATGATGAATATCAGTATGACGTGTTAATCCCACAATCTGCTGATATACATGCACGTGAAGGTGTAATGTAATGTATAGCCTCGTTTTAATTCGTTGTCTGTTTAGTGAAAGTGTGCATCACGAAAACCAGTTGATGATGAGTTCACCAAATGAAGTTGGGCGGAAAACTTGCGAAAATGGAAAGGTAAATGTGACTCAGAATATTTCCGTCAAATAAAGGAATAAATTATCCAAAAAATTAACTTTAAAATTTAAACAATATGCATACGTAGTGTAATAAAATAATTTAAAAAAACTATTTTAGCTGCCTGTGTGACAAACATTTGAATTTACTTTTTTTATTATAATATAAAATAAGTGTTTTTGATTTTATTTGTGAAGCTGTAGTGTCCGAATGTGCTATATGAATGAAATTGTGTTGCTTGTTCTGGGTTGTGCTGACGTGTTGCTGCTTCTTTTCCTGTTCTTAAGGAGTCCGGGATTAAAGACGCTGCGTGTCAAAAACCAAAGAGTCAAGACGAGTGGAAGACAACCAACTGGGCAGAAAATACAGGTGAGTCACCTTCACTTGAGCAAAGTCCTGCCGCAAAATAATCTAAAGATTGCAAGCAAATTGTTAACATGTAAAGTAAAGTTATACGTTTAAAATGGATCCACACCCAGATATTCAGGAAGAATTCATCACCTCGTTAAGCGTGGGAGACGGGCGCTACCTGGTGGATTTGGGGAGGTATGCCGATGTTATTAATGCCAATAACGATTCAAATTGAGTTATTTGTTAAAAATTGACATGTCACCTACTTACTCATGAAGATTTCCTGAGTTGATACTCTTAACAGAACCCGTTGAAAATAAGCTTGCTCCTACGCATCTTTTCTGACTCCCTCAGCTCGTCAGAGTTCATCGTTGATGAAGAGTGCATCCTTCAGCTGTTCAAGTCATGCCGGGAATGCAGCAGACAATGTACAGTTAGGAAACATGTCAAAGGGCTGAAGCTTGTGGTGAACCAGGCATGCTGCTTCTGCGAAAGCCGCTCTAAATGGACTAACCTGCCGGACGATGATAATGACGATGGCGATTTGCAGATAAACGGAAAAGATACAGCACATGAACAGACCAACTCAGCTAAGCAGTAATCCTCGTAGAGCGTTGTGGGACAGTGGCTGTGTACTGAGATCATGTTGAAGCAGCAATATGTTGTTACAGTGGACTAAGCGGCTCGAATTCTGGTTATTGTCACACGTCGGTGGAGTTTGGCTGTTATTCTTTGGACTGTCGTGAAGCGGTCCTCAACTTCCGTGTATGCTTTTACCATTTTTATTTCCACATCAGAGAACCATCGGATTCAAGTGAGAGGTCTGTTAACCTGCACACCACAGCCAAGTGAGACAACTTGATTTGAATTGGCAGGTAAGAGAGTTCGAGTGAGCCGAGGTAGAGATGCGTCCCTGAGGGAAGATGGACTTTTCAAATTTATTCTTACTTCAAGAGGTCATTCATCTTTTGATTAGCTTCCATCCTTTGTGCCAATATGCATTTTCAGAAAACAAGCAGCTGCTCAAACAATTGTCAAATTTTCAAGCAATATTGAACATTGTTTTAATGCCTCATCCTATTCATTGCGAGTTGTTAAACTCAAGACCCCACATGTAATCTGTAGCAGGATATTCTGTCTGGGTAATGCATGTTCACGCCCAACGTAAAATGCATGCAGGCTGCATTATGATCGTATGCCATCACATCTTGTGGTGATCAGGATCGGATCTTTGCCCGGCGTAAATGCCATCTGTGCAGGTAGATCATATTCTTTAAAAAAATACTGCCTATTAAGATGGACACTCTCCCTGCAAAAAAAACAACTACATATAGTAGCTAGTAAGACTTCCCTTGCAGAAAGTGAACAGATAACATGTTGATCCCAGGTGTAACCTTAAATAAACATGTGAGCCACGATTAATAAATCATTTTGGATTCCTGTCCACAATCGAATCGAAACACCTTTTTTGCATCATTTAAGGCCCAGTTATAGTAAATCTGTCATTAGCATTCAATAAGTACAGGTATTACTACAGATTATACATTTTATAAATTCATTATCATTTTTACATTTGATCTTCAGCTTTGGAATTTGAAATGTCAGACTTCATGTTATTTTGTCGTGCTACAGATGGAAATGCCTCATTACAGGATTTGTTCCGTAACTTTATATGTTTGATACTTTTGTATTGGATCAGCCTTAACCTCAGTAAAATACAAAAACAGTAACCTGTACCGAATGCAAATCACTTAACCTGCAACTGTGAGCCAGTCCAGCTAGTAGAGTTCAGGATCCCACACATTTAATGGATGACGATAAAGGGGCATTTGTGTGCTCATTAGATACATTAGGACAGTGCTACCCTTTGTGTTGGTTAAAAACTACAACATGTTTAGTTCTGCCAGAGTGAAAACAGTGTATCTGAAGACCAGGAGGAGTCATGAAAGACTAGATTATCATCGCCACTGGTGATCGGACAGCACAACACCAGGTTCATTAAAAATCAAACATTAAAGCTTAAAAATAAATAATCCACTGGAAGGGTTAAATCACAAAAGCAAGACATCACACGAATAAGGGGGAAAAATGGAAGTTAAAAATGTCAGTGTGGGACATTCATGCTCGTTAACTTTGCATCGGGGATCCTTGTTTGGCAAGAGGAAGAACATGTTGACTAGTTGTTTGCTACAATATCAGCACTCAAAAACGGCACAGTGAGGGAGCCATTTCAAAACATTCTTTGTTATCAAGTACTAAAAACCCGTGGAAGGAGGATACTTGGTCCAAGATGTCGTTAAGGTCACGTAGAGCAGCTGAGGTGAGAGGAAGTTAGCTAAATTAGCCAATAGCTACATGTTGTGGAGTGTGTTCAGTTCATTAATAACCATCAGGACTTGTATCTTAAATTCCTATTTTGTGCAAATCTCTGAGGGAAGATCTCGAGGAGACAGTATTGTTCAGCCAGAATGTCGTACCCTTAGTTGTGAAAAGCAGAAACAAAGTATTTTGCAGCATGTTCCTATGATGTTAATCCAGCCTGGATTGAGCGGAGCTTAAAACAGCCCCGCGTCAGTGCAGATAGCTAGTGTTGTACTGGAAGGACGCCATCTGGACCCGACTGCGCAGCGCCTGGACCTCCAGGTCCTGGAAATGGTCGTCCTCGTCGTTCTGGATGATGATCTTCTGCAATTCACCGATTTCACGCTCCATCCTGGAACGCAGCTCTCGCTTCATCTTCAGCAGAGCCTGTGGGAATGGCAGTGAAGAAGAAGCACTCAGATTGTGTTTAACTTTAGTGAAAGTAAATAAGTCTCAAAATATATTTTGAGTACATGTTTATATGCCATACATACATACATAAACACACACACACACATGATGGCAAATGTAGTCAATAGAGGAATAAATTCCTGTGTGTGAACTATCGACAGAGCCGTGCTGGCAGTGCCTACATGTACCAGAAAGCATTGCGTGCGAGCGTCTGACCCCCAACAACAAATCCTTCCCGAAAAACCCGGTAGCTCGTGGAGGTGGGCATTTCAAACGCGAGTGTGCACAAAAAGTTAAAGGCGTCTCAAATACTGAGACAAAAATGCCGACGTGGTGTATCGTGCCTGGATGCTCCAGCTACAAGAAGAAGAGAGAGGAGCTCGTGAGCGTGAACTACCACCGACTACCGACAGATGTTGTACGCTGCAAACAATGGCTCCGAGCGATTAAAAACCCGAAATATGACGAGAACGCACCGACCTCAGCACTGGGGAGTCTTCGGGTGTGCTCGCTGCATTTTGCAGCAGATGACTACAACCGGGACATGCGGTCAGAGCTGATGGGAGGGCCCATCAAGAAACTGCTGAAGACATCCGCTGTGCCCGCTGTGTTTACAAGCGACGTCGGCCGTGGCGAAGCAGAGCCCCGGGAGGAGCGAGGCCGGACAGATGTAAGCGGTTTATAGCCAACGTTAGTAGAGCACATTGCTAAAAATGCCACATTGTGTCATGTACTGTTGCTGATCATCCTAATTGTTACTCTGCCATCGTAGACTGAAGAACAACCCGCCTCTACTTCTACCGTCAGTGCGTCCAGCTGTGAGACAGAAACACGGTCAGCTGCTTCAGCCCACGGTCACGGTGGGCTCGTGCCTGAGGTAAGACATTACGGTAATGGAGATTCTGATTTGGGCTTTCATTAAATAGTGATGCGTTAGAAACTTTAATAATGGTGTCCACGTTTATTTACTGTTTTAGGAAATTGTTGCGGTTTTTTTTTTATAACTCTAACCCCCAGGCATGTCCAAGAGGTATTACTGTAGAGTTCTAGCCTGGCTGCTTTCCAAACCAGGACACAATAGTAAGATCTCCGTGCTATAATAAAAGCAGATAAAAGCATTCAGTAGAGCTGTCTAGAGCTTTTATTGTGAAATGTAAGAACGGAAAGAGTGTAGCTGTAATGCGCTGCAGGTTACAGTGGGAGGCAACAAAGAGCTGGCTGTCTTGGTTCAGACTAGGTAGCCTCTGCTAATATTTTATTACCATCATAAGTCTTCAATAGACGCAATCATTAGCAATTACATTGTGCAATCAGCATTTACTTAATAAGTTAAAGCAAAACACTTTGTCTATTTTAAGTAAAACACACCGCTTTCTAACATGAGAGTCCATTCAAGTTGGTGATTTGTGGCATTTTAACTCATTAAAAACATATTGCTCATGTTGTGCACGAATAAGATTAAAATTGAAAGATTTTTGTGACAGCGGTACTAAGTCAAATGTTTACCTTTTCTTGAGATTTTTTCCGGACCTGGATATCCTGCCGCTCTTGGGAAAGTTTTTCAGCAAGTAGTGAAAACTGAAAGAGAGGAAGCACATTAAAGCTTCATCCTGGAATGCATGAGTAGGTCCATTTTAAAACTATACAACAGTGTGTGTGACTTCCTGGTTCTTATATAGGTCTGTGTGTGTCCTACCTGGTCTTTGTAGTAGTTCTCCATGGACTTGATCTGGTCCTGGTGTCGTCTCTGATGTTCCAGCCGCTGCTCCTTAGCGTAGGCTTTCTGCTGTCTCAACCGGACTTTCTGTAGCTCCAAACCCTCCTCAAACAACTGCTGAAACATCTAGACAGACACACAACCACACATCACGCAAAAGACTAACGCCAGATGTTCCCATGGTTTGTGATTTAACTTATATTACTTAATATCTAAGGTTATTTATTCTACAGCTCTGATTCCTCTCAAGCACCCACACAAATATGTTAAAACAGGGACCTAACTTGCCTAATAAAGTTTGGGTTTCAGAAGAGATGGACAATGTAAACAACCTCAAGTCCATTGCATCCTTGTAGTTTGTGGGAGCATCAAAGTTGCCAAACATCAGCTGCTTTTCCTAGTTTTTTTTATCATTGAGTATTTTATATATTTGGGTGGTGAACGGGACTGTTGGTCAGACAACACAAGCAAATCCTAGTTGTCATATTAAGCTCTGGAAAGAGTTGACCTTTTTGTGGCACTTTTCAATGCTTTGAAACCTTTAGATTTTATATACAAGACATTAAATAAATAAATTAGATGTAATTCTATATTTGAGTAATCGTTAGTCGCTGCCATAGTCCTAGAACTGGAGTGCAGAGTTGCGACCGGCCTCCACTACCCACCCTCTCCTCCTTGGTGCGAGCCCTCATCAGGCGGGCGCGGTGCTGGACATGGTAGTCGCTGTGGTACTTCTTGGCACGTGCTACCTGCTGCCTCTGTTCCCTCTGTCTGTTCTGGGTCGACTTCTGCTGTTGGATACGCTCTTTGAAATCCCTCTGGAAGATAAACATGTTCAGCTTGCAACTGGTCTGCCGTGTTTCACAAACACCGCTTGTCCAGAACAGGCAGGTGAAGTCTGTCTGCATGTGGGTGCACTGTTTTGTAAAAAAATATGATGACACTCTAAACATCCATTGTACCCGTTGATAAGGTTACTTAAATGTGAAGGGACCTTTTGAATGTGTGTTTATGTGTTGATGCTCACCAGACGCCTGTTGTGGTCCTTGTCTTTACGGATGATCTCCACCAGCAGGTCATGTTTCTTTTGGGCTTCTTCCACCTGACAGACAAGCAGGCATTTACATATTCATTCATCAGTCCTTCCACCACATCGTACATTCCAGATTTTAAGGAGCACACAGACACCGCAGTCAGGCCCATTTGTCCTGCACATGGCAGACTTGCAGTGGCCACATCGTCCTACCTGGCTTGAGAGTTTGCTGCGACGCTGGCTGTGAGGGGATGACAGGGCATGGAGTCTGTCCACCTGCTGCATCTGCTGCTCCCACATCCGACCCAGGGCGTGGGGGGAGATGTGAAGGTGGGGCAACTCCTCAAGGAGCACAGGAAGGAGTTCATTCTCCTTCACCTTCACTGCAGAGAGAGGACAAGAAAAGGAACATTACAACCATAGTATAATCAGACTATAATTGGTTGAAATCTGCAACCTCACAGCTAGAGGTCACCTAATCCACACTAGTCCTTTTTAAAAAGGGAGCTCCAAAGTTAAAATGTCATCAAATAACAATCTTTGACCAGTCACAAGAACCTTTCCTTCATAGGTTAGCTGCAGCTTACAATAGATTACTGTTCAAGATGACCCAACTATGACCATACAAAGGTTCATATGGTGTTACTGTGCAGTTTTGGGGAAATTTAAAGGAAAAGTCAGCAAAAATTGCATTGTAACAGATTGATAATTTTTTTTTTTTTAT